TTGGTGTCCTTCAAGGCAGTGTCACGCTGCTTTCTGAAACTTCCTGAGGTTTATCCTCTACTTAAAAGAAGCTTAAAAATGTAAAATTTACCTTGAACAGACTATTTTGGCACTTGGCAATTCCACTGTGCAAGTCGATTATGTGCTTCACACCAGATTCACATTCAGCTTTTAAAGAGTTATTTTATTTCACAATAATTAGGTTATATGAGTGATAATGATGAAAGCCAGCAGAAGACACTCGCACGTCCACATCTTGCAACAACGACCTTCAAGCCCCAGGGGTTCGGGCACTCCAGACCCACAGGTCAGGCTGGAAAGAATTGTCATCTGAGCATGTGTTGGCTGCCCTTCTGCCAAACTAAAGGTATGTCTGTCCACAACAAACACAATTAATTTAACTAATTTATCTATTAACTGTCCTCAAATAAAGCCTCCAAGCTTTAATTAGACCATTGTGATTAAATGCAATTAAAACCCTTAAAGCAAGTCAACAAGGACTGCAGGAACTCTCATTTCCAAAGCCCAGCACAAAGCTACAAGCACACTAAGGAATGGGTAACTGAGGGTGATGGCAAGAGATGTTTTTGCCCACAGGCACAAAGCAATGCAGCACCAAAGACCTTCTACTGCGCCCTGACTCAGCTTCTGCAACAGGACAAGACCTTGGAAAGGAGACAGGACACAGCGGCCTCCTGAGGGATGGGGATGAGAGTCCAAAAAGGGGAGACTAATACGACTGCCTGCCATGGTCTCTGCCGGTGCGTCAGCTCAAAATGCGGTCACACCTCTCAGCAGCACTGACAGTGATGGGGTTTGGTGAGGGGACAGAAACAAGGGAAATTGCAAGTACACAGGCATTCTTCCTTTATTCATTTCAAACCACTGGGCACCAGTTTGCTTCTCCTATCATGTTTATTATTTGCATCTCAGGCCCAGCCTTGCTTCTGATCCAAGCAGACACTACGATAAATGTTGCACAGTGATGGGAAACATGGCGGGAAAAAGCTTTTGCATCTTCCCAGCGTCTGGTCCTGTTATATAAAATTCAAGGCAGACAATGTATAAATTACTTGCACAAGTGTTTCCATTCTTTTTCAGCTGATACGCCTCGTGAATGCAGCTCAGTTCCCAGTCCACCCCAAGAAACTGAAGCCTTGAAATGGTGCATGCAATTGTGTTGCCATCGTTGAGTCTTGTGCATGGAGAGGTAGGAGGGAAACCATCGCGATTGCCGAGACAGAGAGAGCAGCACTGTGCAGTAGCAGCAGAGAGGATTACATTACGCTAAGCATCACCTGAACACAGAGTGGGCTTGGTGGAAGACATTAAATTTGATGGGAAATTTTTGTAACAAAAAGTTCACAACCTTTCAAGGAGACTATGAGCAGTGGAAGGACCAAAATGAGGCAAAAAACTGCAAGGTGAGTGCTAGTCAAGTTGCACAGGGCAAAAAAATTGGTAATGTTACGATCAATTATGATTAAACAGGAAGACAAAACTCGAAAGGGCTCTGAGAGGCCAGGAAAAGTCATTGGGGTGGGGGCCAGCAAGGAGGTGAGCCGCAAGCAAGAAAAAAATCAGATTTCTATATATAAATGCAAGCTAGGTCTCTCATTCCAGCTTTGGTGATTTCTTTTGCCCTTTAGACTTTTGAAAAAGCTGACACTATCCTCGAACTTTAACAACCCCAAATCATTCCTCCTAATGGCACCTGTATTCAGATTTATATTCTGTGGTGAGCTGGAGTAAAAGGAGAGCTGCAATAGGCACCCCGCGGCACGCCGGCCACCGCAGTTCTGTGTGTGTACGGCACCAAGAAAAACCCAGCAGGTGCAGAAGAGTTCCCCAAGTTATTTCCTATTCTCTGTCTAGCAATAAAGACACAGTTACACCGGGTGGTAACTCTTAGCAGATGGTGACTTTTTAAAGTTGATTGCTGTATAAATGATAGTTTCTGAGTTTTTTCCTTTTAATTCAGATTCTCAGTAGCGCGTTCAAATGTCAGAGAGCATCATATTTCTATCTTTTATTTCCTTTGCGAGCAGAAATCTTCTTTAAGAAGTCTAGAAATTACAGCTTCGGAGAAAAGATAGGCTCTCCCGATAAAAGTGATCTACTTTACAAATGTTACAGAATACAATAAAAACAGTAGCTGCAAAAAAGCCCCACTAGTTTTGTTCTCAGTGGAGAGTTTTAATTTCTATTGCACTTTTTAAAGAGACATTTTGTCTGCACTGTAATGGTTTACTGGATCAGTGAGATCCATTAGCAGCACCAAGGCAGGATTTCCTCTGCTGCAAGTGCAGTGAGGTTGGGGCAGTGGGGGTAGAAGATATTTAATTAATCAGCTCCAACTGTAGGCAAATAAAAATAACAGGAGAGCTGAATGAGCACCTTGTTTATCCCCCAGCTGCCCTGCAGTCCCAAGCCAGGGTGGCCATGTGCCAGACCCCCACGATACGCAGGGTTTTTGGGGCTGCACATGACCCAAACCGGCAGCCACAGGATTTAAGGCTGCGCTTTAGCATAAATCAGATTCAGAGAGTCCAGGGGCAACGCCCTTTGGCTGCAGCTGCAAATCCAAAGCCTGTGCAACAGCTCCCGAAGGCAAGAGGGCTGGTATATTGCTCCAAGCTATCTTCCACCTATGGCTGGCGGGTTTACCTACTTGCCCTCCGTTCTTTACTCATCTGAGTGAGGTGGCAATTCACCGTGATCCCAAAGAGCCATACCTGTACCTGGAAGCTGCAGCTAGAAGGCTTTTCTGGTTTTCTGCAAGTTGTGTATACATGTTGTCTTTTTAATGGCGTAGCTGGAAACCATATTCCCCACCTAACCTTGGTAGCGAGGGAGGGTTTGAACCAGCACAGGCTGCTTACACAGAGGTCAGGAGGGTGCAGTGCTCACCCCCAAAGAGGAGCCCCTGCAAGGATGATGGGCTGGCTCAGAGGGCTTTGCTTATCCACTAATTCAGAAAAGATGTATCTGTCAACAACTACAATGCATTTTACTTCAATTTGTTGTCACCACTGCCAGCACCAGGTGCCCACAGCCCCTGCACAGCCCCATTACACACACCAGATCTGGCTTGCACAAGTTTTTCCTGGGGGAGGTCTAAAGGAGCAAATGACCACCACAAACCCCCCTCCGCCATCCCGTCAGCGTGCTGGGGTCCTCCATGTCACCCCAGCGAGGTTTTCTGCAGGGTCAGGAGAGCAGCCGAGGGCCCAGGCAGTGTCCGTCCCCCCTGAACCATGTCCCCACCTGTGGGCTCACACACTCAACGTCACCATGTTTCCCACTGCGGTTCCCCACGAGGCACCATATGCAGGCTCATTCTGCCTAATTACAGCAAAAAGCAGGCAGTTTTGGAGCATTCTGATGATGCATCCCCACAGTCCTGCTCTGCCATAACCGATAAGCAAGCCTGGCCAGTCCAGTGCGCAGGGTTACCGTATGCTCCTTCGAATATTGCTTTTCAATGACACAGACATATCAGAACCAGCCACACATAAACTCGCCCACTTGACCAAGTGCCGAGGACCGCTGCCTCCTGCTAACACTCAACTACTCTAGAAAAAATGGAGGTGACAGATAGACGAAGACCTATGTGATCTGTATGGGACAGCCCCTCTGTCCCCAGATTGGAGCAGCAGTACAAATATCGGTGCCTTGTGGCAAGCTGGGGGGATTCCAAGTGCTTCAGTGCAGCCACGATCGGTCCCCTGCACTTCACCTCCCCTCAGAGTCTGTGTCTTAGCCCATTTATTTATTGCACCTCATTGGCAAAAAGGAAAGACATCCCCTGGCCAGAGGGAAATGTCCCAATTAAAAAGCGAACGATGCAGTAAAACAGCAGAGCATTCTTGAGAGCAGCGGTAAAAGCAGCCACCTCTTGTCCTCAATTTATGCTGCTCCCATCACCCCAGGCATTATATTTGTGCTGACAGGGATCAGTTTAACCCCTGCCTGCAATCTAATAAAAAGCTGGCGTGGTGGAAGCATGCATAATCCTTCTTCAGTGTCCTAGGAACAGGCGCAATAAAAAACTTCTGCTGCTGCTGCTGCTCAGTGCCCACAGCAGCTGCTTGGAATAAATAACTCCCTGCCTGGCGCCGGCAGCAGGAAGGGCTTCGGACCACCGGCTTCTTGGACCCTCGTCCCTTTGCACCGCCACAGCCCAGGGTGGGCAAATCATGTCAAAATAAAACAAAAAAGCCAGACTTGCTGTGTGGGTCAGACCGAAGTGTCTGCAATAGCTCAGGAGCCTGTGGCGGGGAGACAGCGAGCCCGCCCT